TCCAATCATGCCTTCTTTTTCTTTTTTTTCTGGAAGGAACTTCTGCAGGTGTTTTATCCCAGCATAGTGCACAACTTGCCTAATGAAAAAAAAAAAAAAGAAGACAAATGGAATGCAGGTCCCAAATGTCCCCTGTGCGAAACCGACCTCTGCACTCTCCCATGCCCTGTCTGCAAGGATATTGAAATAGTTTAAAGTTTAAACCTTCCATCATTAGGGGTTGCATCCTCCCCATGCACACTGCCAGGTACCCATATTTGCATATCCCTCCTCAAGATGAAGGGGACTTTGGGCCTCGGCACACCTATCTCCAAAACAACGATTTGGAGAGAAGTGGCATTGCCACACCAACTCCCGAAAATCGCAGTCAGAAAGAATTTTGAGAGCTGTCAGAATGCGGTTCTCGGGAGTGCTCTCGAACTTCGTGGATCGCCCCGCTTGCAAAACACCGGATTTGAGGAGTGGTTCGAGGCTCCTCCGATTTCGGCCCCAAACTGGAGAGTGCGGCTCAACCGACAACCGTCTGTTGCCACCGTTTTGTCGTCTGTGGTTCGAGAGCACTCTAGAACCGTGGAGGTCCTTTCAGACCCTGGCCCCACCAGTTTGTGGAGCGGCCTCACCGCCACACTGCGCTCTCCAAACATGTCGGGCCTCGTCTGACGAATTGGAGACTGTCCCCTTGGAGAGCGCAGTGTGGCGACGAGCCCTCTCGAACGGTTTTTTCACTATCTCCCGCGTTCATGAGTGCTCCCGAACTTTTTTGTGCTTTCGGGATAGGTGTGTTGAGGCCCTTTATGCCGACCCTTCCCTCAATGCAGTTATTTCCTACTTCTGTCCTCCTATCCTCTATTCTCTGTGCTGCTGAAGAGGCCCTCTCAGTGTGGCAGAGGCTCACCAGAGGCCCTGTCAGTCTGGCAGAGGCTCACCAGCAGCAAGCAAACAAACAAACAAACAAACAAACAAGCAAACAAACAAACACAAAAAGAGAAGTGGGAAAAAAATATCGAAAACAAATAAACAAGAAATTTGAAGAAAACAAACACGAATGTCCTTCGGGACATGCGTTAAATTGGAACGATACAGAGAAGGGTAGATTAGCAAATGGCCCCTGCGCAAGGATGACACACATAAGTCGAGAAGTGGTCCGAAAAAAAAAAAAAAAAAAAAAAAACCCACTAACTGGCCTAGTTGAAAAAAAAACAAAAAAAAACATGGTATTTGAAGTTTTGCTCTCCCGTGTTCTGATCTGAATTTACTATTTAGTGTTATACTTTTTTTTTTTTTTTTTTTTTTCAATCTTGCGCATAGTGTTGTACTTTTTTTCAATCATGCAGCATTATATTTTCTAATTTTATATTTGTGCTGTGCCACGCATTTGTTTCTTTCCCACGTCTTCTTTATCGCTTGCTGCAAACTTTGCTCCTCTTCTCCTTTCGTTTTCTGATGTTTATGATTTGGTGTCATCATTTCACTGCTGACTTTTTTTTTTTTTGGGGTAACTTCGGCGCAG